ACAACTGTACTTCAGGACTTTTGAAACCATTTCCATTAGGTTTGTGTGAGAAACAGACCAACAAGTGAATCATTTAGATTTGTCTCAGATAAAAATAATATTAGGTCCAGAGTTGTTCATGGTTATTACATGATGCATCATTTCATGTTTGCCAGAAGGGGACTTTATTTATTTGGGGGTCTCATTCAGGCCTTTACCCTCTTTTGATACTCTCCCACCTGCCAAAAGCGTGTGAAACACAGCAGTGCCGTGTAACTCCAACACTATTACTAGCCACTTTGACAGAAAGCACCTGAAGTAATCAAATCAAATGTGCTCAGGGCTGCGTCCTCAGCCCACTTCTGTACTCCCTGTACACACATGACTGTGCAGCCACACACAGCTCCAACGTCATCGTCAAATTCGCTGACGACACAACGGTGATACGCCTGATCACCGACAACGATGAGACGGCCTTCAGAGAGGAGGTGAGCACCCTGACTAAATGGTGTCAGGAGAATCATCTCTCACTCAACATCGACAAGACCAAGGAGCTGGTGGTGGATTTCAGGAGACAGAGCAGAGAACACACACCCATCACCATCGTCAAGACACCTGTGGAGCGGGTAAACAGCTTTAAGTTCCTCGGCGTTCACATCAGTGAGGATCTCACATGGTCTACACACACTGATGCAGTGCTGAAGAAGGCACATCAACGCCTTTTCTTCCTGAGACGGCTGAGGAAGTTTGGCATGAGCCCCAGCATCCTCAGAACATTCTACACCTGCACTGTGGAGAGCATCCTGACTGGCTGCATCACTGCCTGGTTTGGAAACAGCACTGCTGGCAACCGCAAAGCTCTGCAAAGGGTCATGCGAACTGCCCGTCACATTGTTGGAGGTGAGCTTCCCTCCCTCCAGGACATCTACACCAGGCGGTGTATAAGGAAAGCAGCCCGGATCATCAGTGACTCCAGCCACCCATCCCACAGACTGCTCTCTCTGCTGCCCTCAGGAAGACGTCTCCGCAGCATCCGATCCCGCACTAGCCGACTGAGGGATAGCTTTTTCCCTCAGGCTATCAGAGTAATGAACAGTCAGAACTAATACACCCTACAGCATACTCCCACAATACGGTATGCCACACACTGCACTTAACTCCAACAGTTCAATACTGGACTATACATGCACATTGCATTTAAATACAATAATCTATCTGATACCACTGGATACCATCCAATGCACATCCATGACATTTTGCGTATCCAGTTCATGTATAATCTGTTGCACCTTCGCATATTTTATGTGTATATATGTCTACATAACGTAGAATGTGTACATACTGTGTATAATGTGTATTGCTAACTGTAAGTATGTACATACTGTGTATAATGTGTATTGCTAACTGTAAGTATGTACATACTGTGTATAATGTGCAGTGCTAACTGTAAGTATGTCTAATAGTACACTGTGTGTACTGACTATATGTATGTGCATATTGCACATTGTCATCTGTTGAGGTCTGTATGTTTATATGTAAATTGTTTCTGCACTGTCTGGAGCACGCTCCCAAGAATTTCACTCACCAAGGCACATGTGCTGTGGTGATGTGACAATAAAAGTGACTTGACTTGACTTGTACACGTGAAATTATATACCTTTATATGAGCCTGTGGCATTTATAGAAGTTTAACCCATGAATATCAGAAACATTTACATATTCAGAAATATGCATTTAGGAGATTATAAATAACCTTAGCTGAGCTACATATATACGTTTATAAGCAACTGCAAAAAAGCACAAATGTCAGGGCATGTCAAAACTTCTCAAGGCCCGCAAAACACCCTCAGACCCCAGAGGGTTAAATCATTGCCTGATTAGGTGATTCAGTGTTGTTGCAATTTAGTAGGGTCGCTATGACATGTCCCTATATCCAGCGAGTACTAAATTATCCCTAGCAATAATTCTGATCAAACAGTTAAACATATGTATATGTAACCATTGTTGTAATTTCGACCGTATCTGAAATAGTTCATACAATTGATATTACCTGAGAAGTTAACATATAAGGTAAAACATATGTGCACAATTCAGATGAATGATAAAGTTTACCCTCTTTAACTTTGTTGTCTCATTTGCTGTTTTTACATTGACTATCACTCATAGAGTAGAACAATAAAACACAACAATAATTTCTCAAATATTTATTACAATATATACTGATAAACTGAACATTTGCTTCAATGGTATGAGATGACTGGATGCTTTCAACTGATTTCCTGTTGAACGGTCAACAACTGAACTGCAGTGCTCAAGCTATTTCAAATATAGTGATTTAAGCTACAAACTCTTTACACAATTTATTTTTTAACTTTATTATAATGCACAATGTTTCCATCTGGGGACGGCACAGTGGCTCGGTGGTTAGCAATGTTGTCTCACAGCAAGAAGGTCTACGGTTGGAGCCCCGGCAGGGACAGGAGGCCTTTCTGTGTGGACTTTGCATGTTCTCCCTGTGTCTGCGTGGGTTTACGCCAGGTGCTTTGGTGTCCTCCCACAACCCAAAGACATGCAGGTTAGGTTAATTGAATACTCTAAATTGTCCCTGGACGTGTTTGTAAAGACAAGACTAGTGTATAGATTGACTTGTGAATGGATTAATTGGTTATCGCCATGTATATAGCCAGATGCTGGAATGGTGGTAAGAAGGAAATAAACAAACAAACGTTTCCATCTAAAGTGAATTTTGAGATGCAGCTCGTCATATTAACAGAAACCTTCATCTGATGGTGTTAAGTACTGACAGAGCTGACAAAAACAAAGGTCAAACTGAGGTTACAACAACTGAATGGACAACAATTTAATTAGGACAAACAAATTTTTAAGCTAATATGTAATTGAAAACGACAATCCTTCCACTGGTTTGCTTTTTTTCCTTTTAGCAGTACAATATGTCTTATTTTTGCAGTTTTACATGCCATTGTTTTTTGCAGTTTTACATTGTGACCTCATGCTGAGGACTGGTTAAATTACATGTATTTTACTTGTATAGATTATAGAGCATGTATTTAAAATAATACTAAAGAAATTATTTCAAAATGAAAGCAATGAATGCCCTGAGGATACAGATATTCTGTAGAGGTAGCTTTTTAAGTATTTTTAAAGGTGACATATCATGAAAATCTGACTTTTCCAGGTTGTAAGTGCTATAATCAGGTCCCGGTGCATCTAACAAACAAGGAACGTGAAAAAGATGAACCCAGTAACTTTGTTTTGGGAAGCCTTTTTCTGCAAGCGTCTGAGAAAACCAGCCCGTCTGATTTCACTCCACTAGTGACGTGGCAAAGATCTCATTATAATATTACCGCCCCTTAATCTGTACGTTTACACCCACGGCGCCGTCATTGTGTTTACGCAAGCGACAGCGGTGTACCAACTCTAACACCATGATGAAAGTTTGAGCGAAGCATGCTAACTGTTCAGTGTTTGGCTGCACAGACGAGCACAGAACACTGTTTAGAGTCCCAGCCTCAGAGACGACAGAGCAGTGCATTTATTGATTTATTTACTGTATATTGCTGCTGCCACACAGATCTAAAATAAACATTTATTTCCCTGCTGTTTACCCTGCAAACGAGCCTCCACTGGCCCTTTACGGGCCCACTTAGGGCTAGCCTAAGGGCCCCCAGCGCAGGGCCTCTGAGATTTTGCTCATTGGCAAAACGTTGGTCCCTTAGTGCTGGCCCTGCACGGGCAGCCCTCACTTAGCCCACACTATTAATCTACAACAGGGCTGCCCAACCCTGGTCCTGGTCAATGGTCCATTTGAGCGATAGGTGGCGGTAATGCACTTATAAGGCTGTGATCAGCCGTAAAGCAAGAAGAAGAAGAACCCTGGTACTGATCAAACACACCTGAACCAACTAATTAGGATCTGAAGGAGCACTTGATAATTACAGACAGGTTAGTTTAAACTTTAGACATTCAAATGTTTGTAAGCAACTGAAAAAAGCACAAATGTCAGGGCATGTCAAAACTTTTCCAGGCCCCCCAAAACACCCTCGGACCCCAGAGGGTTAATAACACTGTAATCAGCACAAACTGGGCTACAATAATATGTGGGCAGCATGTATGTACGTGATTGTGTTTTTGAGAAAACAACGTTTATGCGTGCTTAGTGAAAAACTACCATTTTAAAGTCACTGAAATAAGGCCATAAAACACATACAGAACATTTGGACCCGCAAAAAGCCAGCATGGGCCCCACAAGGACATGTATGCAGGGGAGCAGCAGCTCATTTGCATTTAAAGAGACAGGCACGAAAAACAGCGTGTTTCTGCTTCCACTGAAAATAGGCATTTTCAAAATGATATAATAAATGATCTGAAACTTCACCGATACATTCTGGGAACACCAGAGACTTATATTACATATTGTAAAAAGGGGCATAATATGTCTCCTTTAACATAAAGAGAGCTTTTGTGTGTAGCATATGTTTTGTCCCTTATTTCAAAAGTCAGTGATATGCAATTGTATCCAAATCCATTGTTAATTTTAACCTTTAATATTGTAATAATGTACCAGCTGACTGGGTTCCTTTATAGTTTACAGCAGTAGTTGAGAGATTTTTTCATTCAGAAACATTAACATGTACTGTACCTGATATATATTGCAATCAAATTGTAAGTTTATGAATAGAAATTGAGTCGTGAAGTTCCTGTCAATTCCCAGCCCTAATAAAAACAGTGCCAGTAACTGTAGATAGCAAAAAGTCGATTAATCAGTCAAAGCATACTGATTAGTTGTGAATAATCGGTGATAGCCAATTAATCATTCTAATAATGGTTAGATGAATCAATTATTGAACTAATAACTTGTTACAGCCCTACACTTGGGTTTGCTTTGTAGCCCCAGGGCACAAAATGTTGTTAATCCGGGTTTGTCTCCAGGTGTATCACAAGATCGTTCTCATCTTAAAGCCTTTTTCTTTCAATTTTGATTTGAAGGTGTTGGTGTTGAAATGGAGTCGGGTTCAGGTAAGAATCAAATTAGATACAAATATTTACTGCAAAGTTTCCTCAATGATTTATGAAGTATTTATGAAATATTAGCCAACAGTAGACAGTTGTTTACTTTGTTTAGTTTATTAAATTATATTTTACTGAGCTCTCACATTGTTTAAAAGTGGCATTAAAAACCAGGAAGAAACTAGTAATCTAAATAAAAGGTTACATCTCACATACATTTTTGTACATAAATAATTTTCCAATGCACATCAAATTTGTTCACTGCTCACTGCTTTATTCTTTCATTTTCTCAAAATCACAATTTCAATTTGACAAAATATTATGGGTGATTTTCTACTCCCAATGTTTTATGCTAGTTTTTTTGGTATTTTTTTGTGTGTTTGTGGTATTGCAAACATTGTGAAGTCACTCTCTCTCTCTCTATGTGTCTGTGTGTGTGTGTGTGTGTGTGTGTGTGTGAGTGTGTGTGAGTGAGTGTGTGAGTGGGGATTTTTTTATTGATTTTTTCTATAGCAGATGGAAGTAGTCCGGAATCTAATTGTCCTAACAGAAAGAAAATCACTGGCAGTGATATTAAGAAACTTTTTTTTGTATTTCCTTTTATGAGACAACATGGGTAAATCTCTGAAACTATATAAAAGGTCAACAGACTTCCGTGTTCTGTAAAACAGGTCTCGTTGCTTCAGTTCATTTTGTATGTGCTCTGTTAAAGGAAATCAGCCAGCTGTTATTGTTGCTGTTTTATGCTGTTTAATTACTTGGCCTATACATCACATTTAAAAAGGTATGTTCCACAAGAACAAAATTTTCCCTTTCAGTTGGGACATTTTTGTCTTAGCAGAAATCACTCGTCCAACACTCGTCTTGTGTCCTCTAGTGAGATCTAGTCTCTCTGTGGCACAGGCCATAACCTCCAGAAGTTCCTCATATGTGGGGCATGCAGGCTGGGAAGACTCATCAGCTTCTACACCTTCTGCCACCTCACCTCGACGCTCAAGGGTCCTGAGCAGCAGGGTGCAGACGCTGGCCCCATTTCCCTCGAGAAAAGGGACAAACATGAATACAGGTTCTTCATGAAGAAATGCTTGCAGTTAGCACATTCCTCCCCTTCATGGACTTAACATGCGTACTCCTCCCCCAAGTACGTAATTCACAAGTCATGTGTTTCCTCGTGCGTTTGAACACGTGCTTCAGATACTGGTCATGCTGGAAGCATTCCCCATAACATCTTGTCAGATGACTTCTCAGGGAACCAGGATTACATTTTTAATCAAGATGTTCCCCTAGGGCCATTTTCCTGTTTGCATTCACACCACCAGTAGGCACTATAAAGTGGCGTATGCCAGAGATGGGCACTCGAGTTAGTGACTCGGACTCAAGTCGTATTTTTTTAGACTTAAGACTTGACTTCAGACTCGACCTGAAATGACTCCAGACTTGACTAAAGGTCTCGTGAATATTTTAAAAGCAACTTGAGTCTTGTATCCTTAAATCCTGACCGCAAGCCGTAACAGCAGCACCATTTTAAGTGAGCAGCACGTCAAAACAGTGGAGCGGATCACATAGCAAGCGCTCAGGGTCGTTTATGGTAAATATCTTTTAGCGCTATATCCTCTAGTATTTTTATCTAAAGCCAAACGCGCTTTATTCAAGCCCTTTCAGCTCCGTGCGCTTTCTCTCTTTCTCCGGACACCCGCCACCTCTGACTACACTATTAAAAGTAAAGGTTCTTCACGATGCCATAGAAGAACCTTTTTGTCTAAATGGTTCCATAAAGAACCTTTAACACCTTTCTGTTTGACAAAAGATTCTTTGGGGCGAAAGAAGGTTCTTCAGATTCTAAAAAGGTAAGAAAGAGATGGTTCTTTAAAGAACCTATGACTGAATGGTTCTTTGTGGAACCAAAAATGGTTCTTCTATGGCATCGCTTGAAGAACCTTTTGAAGCACCTTTATTTTTAAGAGTGTAGCTATTCAAACCAGATGTGACAAGACGTTTCCGACATTTAGCATTATTAATATGTAGGATAAGAACATTTAAAAAAATATGTAGGCCTAAATATAATTGAAAATTGTTGTTAGATGGCTAGGATGGAACTTAAACTTTGAAACTGTTAGTTCTTTCTTTTCTGCTCAAGATGAGAATGTTTTGATGATTGTAGCTACATTGTTTTTAGGAGGCTAGATACAGTGTGTGTCATGGTAGATCGGACTCTTATTATAGAATTCGATTACAGAAAAACAGTTTTGAACATGGATTAAAACAGTAGTAACTGACTGGATGTACATTAACCTTACATCTTAACACCTCTTTTTTTTTACAAAGCAGATCATAGATCATATATTTTGTCTATAGCCTATAAAACAGCTTCGTAAATAGGAAGATTTCAATACATGAGGATTCTGAATGGGATTTTTTAGCATGACTTGAGACTCGGACTCGTGACCAAAGGCTCGAGACTTGACTTGGACTTAAAGACTTGTGAACGTCTCTGCCGTATGCCAGGCGACAGTGACGTCATTCAACAGCGATGAATGAGGATGCTGTGATTGGAGCTGTGTTTTTGTTGTGTATTGAGGGTTTTGTGATAAGAGATGGAATGTAGAAGTATAAGTTGTGATTGAAAGAGCAAAAATCATTTACTGCCTCTTTCTCGACTAAACATTCATCAGTTTAATCTGGGTGATTTTGAACTTGGAACATAGACCTCAATCTCCACGATAATCTAGCTGTAAATCAGCATGTTGGTCCAGAACAATCTGCCTTAAAGTGCCTTTCAAGAGAACACTTTTTTTACTTGATTACTATGATTTTAGTCCTCTGTGGAGCACAAAACCAGTTTTATTTATAAAATGAAGGTGGAGACTGATTTTCACTCTCCTCCTAAAATGACAAAAGCCACCATAAAAAAAAAACTAGTCTATGCAGCTCTTGGTCTACATTCCAAGTCTTCTGAACCTATATGATAAATTTGGATCCAGATCAAGTTGGATGAATTATTGAAATGATTGAGGAGGATGGTTGGATGGCGACACACCTAAACTCCTAATGACCACCCCTAACACATACACGGAGCATAACATCCAACCTTCTTGATTCACATCACCCTGATACTACCCGAAACAGACATGTGTGTCTGAAACAGAAATGTGTGCGCTGCTTTTCTGATGTTTATTTAAGTTTACCGTGTTTTTTTCCCATGTCACTTGAAATGTGTCCGTTTTGAATCATTGTGGTGAGACACGTGAGGAAAAAAATAAACGATCAGTCGTGGGACTATTCTGTCATAAATCGTATACCATTCATTTCTGAACTTCTGTTACTGGTTGATATGTCCTGATCTCAATAAAGTTTACACATGCTTTTATGATCTCGCTCAGGACATGCATTTTTTGTGGAAGTTTGGCCAGGACTGGTTCCAGAATAAATCACTTTTTTGTCCCGTCCATTGCTTATCACTGATATTTCGAGAATTAATCCAGCATCATTCCTGAAACTTTGCAGCATGTATGTGTCCAAAAAACAAAAGTTTCAAATTCTGAATGGATTATAGCCTAGAAAACACAAAAGCCGCGCTCCCTTTATTATCACTAAAAGAATCACTCATCAAAGTTCATCGCGATCTCACAAAGTTCTGTTATAATCAAGCTCTTTAAACTACACAATAAATATCTTATTTACATCGCATCTGCACTTAACGTTAGTCATGAGATGATTCACGAGCGTGCAAAACTCCGGCTCTTTCAGCGGTGAGTGAATTCTGAAAACTAACGTTTCTGATTGGACATTGCATTGAAGAAATCAACAGATATATCTTTGATCGGCAACACTGCAAAAACACTTTAAATAGTTTGCCAGATCTTTTAATTGCTTTTGCTTTCGTTTGAGAGTATTTAGCACCATCTAGTACCCTTGTACAACCAGGCCTGGGCTGACATCGCGGATTCCATGACTGACCCTTGACCCTTTAAGAGCAAGTGAGCGCATCGGCGCCTCCATATGTCATGCAGTGAGCACGCTGCTGTTAAGCTTTCACACTCCACACAGACACTTGAATAGCGCACATTTCTCTAGGTTAACATTAGATTGAGCGGCCATGTAAAGTTGCTAATACTTACATATTTCAGATGATAAGCCATATTTGAGGTCGGTGAATGATAGGTTTGGATGTAGGCTACTGTATTACAATGTAGCCGATAACGATCTTCGTCACGAACTGCGTGACTTCGTCTGTGGATTATTTTTTTTTTTCTTTCTGCAACTAAGCGACTAATAAAATGTTGGTCGACCAAGCCTCTTCTGGTTGACTAACGATTAGTCGACTATTAAGGGGCAGCCCTAAAAAAACAGTTTGCATGGTAGAAAAATCATTATGTCTTTGGAATGTCCCCTGAACATGAAGACCCAACATGTGTGTTTGTGCTCTTTTTCAGTGAGTAATTTGAGAATTGTTCTGCTAGGAAAGAATGAATCAGAAAACAGCCGATTGGGAAACATTATATTGGATACAACAGCATTTAGCAGTGATGCTCCATCTTATTTACAGCAGCACAGTGTGAGAATCAGTGGAGAGGTGGAGAAGAGACACATCACAGTCATCAACACTCACCTGCTCCAGCCGAATCTCTCAGAGGATCAGATAATAGAGGCAGTGAGAGAGTGTGTGTCTCTGTCTGCTCCAGGACCTCATGTGTTTGTACTCGTAATGCAGTATAATGACTTCACTGAGAACGACAGAAACAGAGTGAAATATGTGCTGAACCTCTTCAGTGAGCAGGCCATGAAACATACTATAGTGCTGACTACTGATGAAGAGACACGCGGATTCATATTCAGATATAGGAATATCGCTATTCATGATTTAATAAAGGAGTGTGAAGGAAGACATCTTCAGTTTGATACAAGCAACCCAGGATGGCCATCAGAGTTGTTCAGAAAGACAGAGGAGATACTCAAGAAAGAACGTGAAGATTTTCTCATTGGTAACATGTATGAGGATGGAGGTGATGGATCATCAGTGGATGAAGATCTAAGCAGATCTGGAGCTTCAGTCAGAGATGACAATGAAGAGGAGGATCCTGATCTTAAAGAGTGCACAAAAACAGGACGCGGTGGAGGAGGTTTGTTAAAGTCTTTTTTTTTTCATGAATGACTATTGTCCATTAACAGTTACAGTGAAAGCAGAAATTAAAGCATATGGTTGATAAAAATAGTGGCATTTGTTCTCGACAGAGACACTGTTAAAGGCACCAGTGGAAAAACTGTGGAACTCATTGCACATGTGGTTTCAGTCACAAGGTAATGATCAGAAAATATGCATGTATTTTTGAGATAAAAATAACATTACATGCAGAGTTTGGAAGAAATAATATGATAGTATGAAAAATTATACATATTCTATCGCATGTATAATTGACAATATTAACTTGAAATTCAATATATTGTTTTGAATTTTTATTTGATCTATCCTTAGATTCAAGAGAAAGAGAAGATGAACTGAGGATTGTGCTGCTGGGAAAAACTGGAGTTGGGAAAAGTTCAACTGGAAACACCATCTTAGGAAGAAAAGTGTTTTTATCAGACATTTCTGAAAAATCTGTTACTAAAGAGTGTCAGAAAGAGACAGCTGAAATCAGCGGCAGACACATTACTGTGATCGACACTCCAGGACTGTTTGATACTGAACTCAGTAATGAAGAAATCCAGAGAGAAATCAGCAACAGCATCTCCATGATCCTGCCTGGACCACATGTGTTCATCATCGTGCTCAATTTAGGACAACGATTCACTAAAGAAGAGGCAACAGCTGTGGAGATCATCCAGGAGACGTTTGGTGAAAACTCATTAATGTTCACCATGGTGCTCTTCACCAGAGGAGATGATCTGAATGGCAAAACCATAGAACAGTATCTGGGAGAACCTGGATCTGCCCTTAAAAACCTGACTGAAGCATGTGGAAACAGATACCATGTGTTCAATAATAAAGAGACTGGAGATCGAACACAGGTGACTGATCTACTGCAGAAGATAGACAACATGGTGAAAGAGAACGGAGGGAGTTACTACTCATGTAAGATCTTCAGAGAGAAGGAGAGAGAATTACAAGAACAACAGATGAAGATCCTGATGGAGAAAGTGGAGCAAGTGGTCAGAGAAAGAGAAGAACTGATGAACAAACATAAAGAAGAGAAAAAGAAGATGAAGATGAAGATCGAGGAAGAAAGACAGAATCATGAGAAAGAGAGAAAGAGAAGAGAAGATGAATTTATTGAGAAAGAAGGACAATATAAAAGAGACATTCTAGAGAGAGAGGAACAAGAGAGAAAGATACGAGAGGAGCTGAAGAGAGAACGAGAGGAATGGGAGAAACAGAAACAACAGGAAAGACAAAGAAGAGAAGAAGAGGAGGAGAAATGGAGAAAGAAAGAACAGGAAAAGTGGGATGAATATAATCAGAGACTTAAAGAAGAGAGAAAGAGAATGGAAAGAGAGAAGGAAGATGTCCAATACAAACATGAAAAAGAGAAAAAGCAAATGAAGATGATGATGGATGAGGAAAGACAGAATCATGACACAGAAAGGAAGAGAAGAGAAGAGGAATTTAGGGAGAGAGAAGAACAATATAAAGCAGAGATGAAGAGAGAACGAGAGGAATGGGAGAGACAGAAACAACAAGGAAGACAAAGAAGAGAAGAAGAGGAGGACCGAAGGAGAAAGATAGAGCAGGAAACATGGGATGACTATTATCAGAAACTTAAACAAGAGAGAGAAAGAAGACTGAGAGAGAGTGAAGAACTTCAGTTCAAACATGAAGAAGAGAGAGAGAGAATGAAGAAGATGATGGAGAAAGAAAGACAGAATCATGAAAAAGAGAGAAAGAGAAGAGAAGATGAATATATAGAAAGAGAAGAACAATATAAAACAGACATTAAAAGCATAGACGAACAAGAGAGAAAGATAAGAGAGGAGATGAAGAGTGAACGAGAGGAATGGGAGAAACAGAAACAGGAACGAGAAAGAGAAAGAGAAGAAGAAAGACATATATTCAATGAACTTTACACAGAAAGTTCTGAGGGTCAGTATACAAACAATAAATCAAAACAACCAGTTAAATTAATTTGCAAAGAATCAAATATTTGGGTTTATACCATCATACTCGATTCTGATTGACTGGCAGGTATGCATTAAAACCGTCTAATGCACAGGTAGTTCAAAGCCAGTTTAATCAGTTTTATATTAATGCGCTGCTTTCATTGACGCACACACACACACACACACACACACACACACAAACACAGAGAGAGAGATTGGAGATCTCGCTGCACACATACAGAAACATTCAGGAGCACAGAAGCTTGTTGTCAACTCTGCCCTGCAACATTAATGAATAAAATAGCCTGTATAGTGGATCACTACAATATGTTTCTCAACAACGAGGAGGTAAAATCCTTGTTTTAAAATCACTGTCATTAAAAGTTTGTTTCCCCCTTTGGTGCGGATCTTTTTTTTTTTTTTTTGTTGATTTTATATTTATTTATTTATTTATTTTTATTATTAATAAAAAGCCCATTTCCTTTGCACAAATGAGTCAGCAGCAGAGCATGCAGCAGAGATTCTAAAAGAGAATAACAATATCTGTATAACTTCAATAATCATTTAAATAAAAACAATCTAATTAAATAATTTCCTAATTTTATGTGTCTCTGCTATATATATATAAATAATAATTATTTTATTATTATTATGACAATGTGTAGAGTCATTGATATTTTAAATGATCCCTACTAAGTTGAGGGCATTGATAAATATGGATCTTAAGGAAACATTTTCACTGGCTGTATGAATGTTGCAGTCTCCAGAGATTGTGGTGCCCAGGAACCTGAATGACTCCACTGCAGTCACAGTGCTGTCCATGATGGTGAGTGGGGGGAGTGCAGGGGGGTTTCTCCTGAAGTCCACGGTCATCTCCACTGTTTTGAGCGTGTTAAGCTCCAGGTTGTTGACTGCACCAGACAGCCAGCTCTTTAACCTCCTGACTGTAAGCAGACTCGTCACCGTCCTGAATGAGGTCGATGAGTGTGGTGTCGTCTGCAAACTTCAGGAGCTTGACAGAGGGGTCTTTAGATGTGCAGTCGTTGGTGTAGAGGGAGAAGAGCAGTGGGGAGAGAACGCAGCCCTGAGGAGCTCCAGTGCTGATTATACGGGTGCTGGATGTGTATTTTCCCAGCCTCACTAGTTGCTGTCTGTCTGTCAGGAAGCTGTTGATCCACTGACAGACGGAGGTGGGCACGGAGAGCTGAGTTAGTTTGGGCACTGCACCAGACAGCCAGCTGCTCGACCTCCTGTCTGTAAGCAGACTCGTCACCGTCCTGAATGAGGTCGATGAGTGTGGTGTCGTCTGCAAACTTCAGGAGCTTGACAGAGGGGTCTTTAGAGGTGCAGTCGTTGGTGTACAGGGAGAAGAGCAGTGGAGAGAGAACACAACCCTGAGGAGCTCCAGTGCTGATCGTACGGGTGCTGTATGTGTATTTTCCCAGCCTCACTAGTTGCTGTCTGTCTGTCAGGAAGTTTTTTCAAACCTGCAGTAGAACTCATTCAGATCGTCTGCTAGTTGTTGATTCTCCACAGTGCTGGGGGATGGTGTCTTGTAGCTGTCTTGTATCTTGGCCACACTCCCTTGGCTAAGGTGCATAATAAAAGCTGGAGCTTGAATGATTTCTGCTCGATGTCGGCAGAACCACATTTTTAGAGTTAAACTCTGCGCACGCCGAAGAGCTGCGGGACCTCGGTCTGCTCCGGAGGCCCACACCATTACCGACCCCCACTACTGCATCTCGCCCACAGCGGAGGCGCCACAAGTGGCACGAGAGGAAGCAGAAGAGGGGTAAGCACGGAGGTATCCAGGCTAGGCTAGCGGCTAACCCACACAAGCCGGCTATCCCCACCATCGTACTGGCTAACGTACGCTCTTTGGACAATAAACTGGACTACATAAGACTACTACGCTCAACCCAGAAGACTGTAAGAGACTGTTGTGTTTTTGTGTTCCTGTGCAGTGGAACTCACCGATGTCTTCACAGACATTTTCAACATCTCGCTAAGTCAGGCTGTTGTCCCCACATGCTTCAAAGCTACCACCATCATTCCAGTCCCGAAGAAGTCGTCTGCATCCTGCTTCAATGACTACCGTCCAATTGCACTTACCCCCATCCTCATGAAGTGCTTTGAACGGCTAGTCATGCACCATATAAAGTCTGCCCTCCCCCCCTCACTGGACCCCTTCCAGTTTGCATATCGGTCCAACCGCTCGACCGACAGCTTCATCCATCAGGCTGTCAGGAAGCTGAAACTCCCTCCCGACCTTGCCCCCCCCTCCCCTCTCTTGCCCCACGCACCACTGAACTCTAACCCTCTGACGAACTCTCCCACTCCCCCCCTCCCAAATACTCACACACACTGTCACTTTAATCAGTCTAAATAAGCTCTTTTGCACTACAAATCATTATATTTGCACTGTTGTTTACTTCACTGGTTTGCACTCTTATCTGCCATGTGCCTTGTGCTGCTTTATATATATTTTTATATTTTTTTCATTTTACCTTATTGTATATTTGTATAGTTGTATTTTGTATTTAATCTGTATTTATGTTCTACTGTTAGTGTTATCTGTATGCACCAAGGGTCTGAGAGTAACACAATTTCAATTCTCTGTGTGTATGTGCTGTACATGGGGAAGAATTGACAATAAAGCAGACTTTACTTGACTTGATTTAATATTGAATGAGAAATGATTATGTGATGAGCCAGATGAGGAGGTGTTTGCAATATTACAGTCACTGCTGGTCCCATCCAGTTTTAAGTTGTTAAAGTAATCACTTGTTCAGCACAGTTCCAAATGTTTATCATTCAGCACCAAGTCTGCTAGTCTCACCAAGAACCAAGACTCCTTCTTTGCCACTGACCTCACCCTGCTCCAAACCTCATTTGTTCTCACTGGTCCTGCCCAGCTCCAAGTGTCTTTCGTTGGTGCTCGTCCCACCCAGCCCTAAGTCTCCTTTGTTGTTGCTGGTCTCACCCAGCTCCAAGACTCCTCCGTCGCCATCGGTTCTACTCAGCTCCAAGTCCCCTTTGTCACCACTGGTCCCACCCAGCTCCAAGTATTCTTTGTCAGTGCTGGTCCTGCCCATCAGCAAGGCTCTTTTTTGTCACTGGTCCTGCCAAACTACAAGTCTCCCTCATTGTTGCTGGTCCTGCCCAGCTCCAAGTGTCCTTTGTTGGTGCTCATCCCACCCAGCCCTAAGTCTCCTTTGTTGTTACTGGTCCCACCCAGCTTCAAGAATCCTTCGTCGCCATCGGTCCTGCTCCACTTCAAGTCCCCTTTGTCACTGCTGGTTCCACCCAGCTCCAAGTGACCTTTGTTGGTGCTGGTCCTGCCCAACTACAAGGCTCTTTTTTTTGTTGCTGGTCCCGTCCAGCTCGAAGTCTCCTTTATCGTCACTGGACCTGCCCAGCTACAAGTGTCCTTCATTGGTGCTGGTCCCACCCAGCTCTAAGACTCCTTAATTGCAGTTGGTCCTGCTCAGCTCCAAGTCTCCATTGTCACCGCTGGTCCCACCCAGCTCCAAGTATTCTTCATCTGTGCTGGTCACACCCAGCTACAAGTCTTCTTTGTCACCACTGGTCATGCCAAGCTCCAGTTGTCCTTCGATGGTGCTGGTCCCACCCAGCTCGAAGTCTCCTTTTTCACTGCTGGTCCTGCTCAGCTCCAAGTCTCCTTCATTGCTGTTGATCCTGCCCAGTTTTAAGCCTCTTTCCTCTGCCAAAGGCATACAGTTCCTTGGCCTTATATCCACTGTCTCCCTTCAGCCCCTCGTCTGCTCCCCAGACTCCACCTCGGCCACATTGGCTCCACCTTGGTTCAACACATTCTTGGCTCCACCATGGACACCATGGCCATCCCTCAGGCTTTACCTTGATATATCGCTCTGGCTTTTCCTCTGCCTCTGACTTCCAGCTGCACCTCGCCCCCTCACCCCTCTGGCTCTGCCAGCCCCCCTTCCCCCTCCCTCAAAGATAGCTACCTGTATAATGGATAATGGTTGAGAACCACTGAGATGGACTGTTAACATTTTATAAATAGTTTACATTTTAGATTTGAGTTTAGCACTTGTTGCTCAGGGTCATATGTAAACTCTTTAACAGGGTCAATAGCTGTAAACTCTATTATTGTCATTTTCAGATGAAGAAGATTCATCATCAGAGTCAGGATGTTTGAGAATCTTGCTGTTTGGGAGGACAGGAAGTGGAAAGTCTGCAACAGGAAACAATATCCTTGGAAACGTTGAGTTGCACAGGGAAGCCAGTTCACAGTCGGTGACCACTGTTTGTCAGAAGAGAGTTGGTGAAGTTGATGGTCAATCAGTAGCTGTTATTGATACTCCAGGACTCTTTGACCCCTCACTGACAAATGAACAAGTGCAGGAAGAAATAATGAAGTGTGTTTCACTGTCAGCACCTGGACCACATGCGTTCATCATTGTGCTGAGCGTGGAAAAAATCACTCCAGAAGAGAAAGACACTTTAGACATGATCAAGATGATCTTTGGCTCAAAAGCAGCAGATTTCTGCATTGTTCTCTTCACTAGAGGAGATGATCTGAGAGGACAAACAATGGAGCAATATGTAGAGAAAAGTAAAGATACTGAACTCAAGACACTGACCAGTGAATGTGGAAACAGATTCCTGGCTTTTAACAACACAGAGACACAAGATCAGACACAAGTTACTCAGCTGTTGAATATGATAGAAGAAATGAATCAGGGCCGATACTTCACTAATGAGATGTTTGAAGAGGCAGCGATCTCCATTGAACATATAAGGGAAATAATAAAAGAAAATGAAAGACAAAATCAGTCTCAAGTTGAAGAATTAAAAGTCAAATATGACATGGAATTTGAAAGCATGAAAAAGAGACTGGAGGAGAAAAAACAAAAGATACATGAGGAAAAACAGAGGCTGCAGAACAAGTTCAGTGAACAAGAGGAACGACTCAGGAGAGAGTTTGAGGAGAAAGAAAAATCTGATCAGGAGAAACGAGAGACGGAGGATCAGAAACAATCAGAAGAAGAGAAACAGCAAAGAGCTGAATATGATCAAAGAATAGAGAAGATGAAGAGAGAGATTGAAGATCTGAGAATACAGTATGAAAAACAGCAAAAAGAAAGGGAAGAAGAAGATGATAGAACGAGAGATGAAAAATATAAACAAAGCCAAGAAAAGATGAAAAATTATCATGAACATGGCATGACAGAGTTAAGAAAAAAACAGGAGGAGGAAATAAAAAAGAGAGATTCAGAGGAACAAATGATGAAGGAACAAGAAGAGAAAGAGAGAGAAGAATGGAAGAGAAAAATAAAAGAGGCTGAAAATGACAAAGAGACTCAAGAGGAAATTAAACGACAGCAGAGAGAATGGGAGGAAGAGAAGAACAGAGAGATGAGAGAACGAGAGGACGAGGAAAGAGAGAGAAAAGCGAGACATGAGGAACAGCTGAGAGAAAAACAGGAAGAACTGGAGAACAAGAGAAATAATTCTGAAAGAGAGAGAGAAGAAGAAAAACAAAACAGAGAGGAGGAGAAACAACAACAGATAAGAGAGAGAAAACAAAAAGAGAGAGAATACGAAGAAAAGATAAAGGAAATGAAAAGATTTTATGAGCAGCTGGAGGGAGAGAGAAAAGAGGAGAGGAAGAGAATAAAACAAGAGGATGAAGAGAGACGAGTGGAGAAGAGATGGGAGAAAATGATGGAAGATCTGAAACGAGAGCAAGAGGAGGAGATCAAGAGAAGAGAAAGAGAGGAGACAGAAAGAATAGACAGAGAAGAAAAAGAGTGTGATGAAATGAAACAGAATCTTGAAGAGGAAATAGAGAAGATGGAGAAGAAACATGAAGATGAAGCCAGAGAACAAAGAGAAGAACTGAATGATTTCAGAAAGAGAAAAGAGCAGCACGTTCAGGAGCTCAAGGAGAGACTTGAAGAGTTTCAAAAACAACTGAATAAAGTGAAAAGGTTAAGAATGGACCTAGAAGATAAATGGACATGTCATGTCATGTGAAACATTATTGATCAGTAGTGAATTTGTAGTGAATTTGAAGGGTTTTTCTGTATTTCTCTTTCTTTCTTCGTATAATCAGGGTTATTCCCACATGCTTCTGAAGGCTCACTGTCATACAGAGTTTAATCACTTACTGTACATACAGTACCTGTCAGTTATTAAGAGATCATGCAGACCTTGATGAGGGGGTTTGATTAGAGTTAAAGTTCTGCAGGAGCAGATTTGAATACATCTGAACTAAAACGATCATACAAAATTATTTTTCTTTTGGTAGATTTTGAAAAAAAAAAGATGAATTATAGCAGACCATAAAAGAGAAAAAAGATAGAAAACTGATGTGAGCTGTTCATGGACTGTAAAATCTCTCATGCAGTAGATGAAACCTAAGATCACAATAATATCGTAACTAAAAGATGTTTACTTTGGGTGTTTTCATTTAATTATTTGTAGCATCATCATTGTATTCTGAACATTATTCTGAAATGACGCTGTACTTTCACATTTTCTGTTATTTTCTGGTGACTAACACTAAAAATAAATGTCTCATTCACACAGACCATGTGCTTCTGTTAGTCCTTCATTACTGAGACGCTGAACAATAACCAATTCATATATTTTACAAACCATTTACCAAAAAGAAAGACTGAACTGAGTAAAACCCAACAAAACTTGAAAACTTATACTGTGGCAGAATAACTACATGTAATCTATTATAGTTACCCATTAACTACCTATTATTTTTAGCCTGTCTTCAACATCATCTAAAGCTCTAACTGAAACTCTGCTAAATACCATGAATAAACTTTAGCCAAGGCTACAGATACAAGTAACTTTACTGCAACTGTGTAGTAAATAATATGTTGAGAGTTTGACTTTAAAAACTCTTTTTAATGTGGCATTAACACACACAGACAAATGGTGTACCAGTTGGAAGTGACTTGTGTTGTTCCCATTAGAGGATCCCCCCCCCCCCCAACAAAACCCATTCAAATAATTTTTCTGTTCCTCTAAAC